GACATGTCTATGTGTTTTATACGAGAGCTTCTCTTTCAAAGGTCTTGCCAACTGTTAATTGATTCTGAATTCCTTTAATGTTGCTTATTTGATTGTTACTGATTTTTCCCTAAATTAAAACTTTCCTTTTACCTCTTTTCTGACTCGAGCAAGGCTTTCAATGGGATTCTTTACTGGTTATTTTACTGGTTCCCTTTCCTTGTTTTACAAATCAAGTACCACCATGTATTTACCCTTATTTGTCTACCTTGCACGAGGTATTTACTTGATTTCCTTCCTTAAATAACTTCGGCCCATTACCGTTTGAATTTGGACTCCTTAATTAAAGGAAGTCTATAGGCTGATTGATTTTAATTGGTACATAGTTCCTTAATTATTACTAAACTATGATTCTTGCCTTATTTGCTACACCTGTTTGCAATTATAAATACCCTGCTCTTTCATTAACACACACACGATTTTAATCATCACAACTCTCTTCTAAAACTTACACTCTTGCTTCTTAATTGCAATTTGGCTTCCCTAAATCTACTGTTTCTTCCTACTTGCTCTTCTGAACTGGTATGTCCTACTTTTGATTCAAGCATCAAAATCCAATGTNTGCAGGAGTCATTGGCATGAATGAGGACTTAAGACGGTAATCGGAGCTAAATTGAAGCAAGAAAAGCCCCTAGAAGCTGAGTACGTGGGAAGACGAGAGAAAGAATAGCTGAAATGGAGACCTGGACTAGCGCGGCCATTAGCGCGACCGCGCTAGCCCAGTTAGTCGAGGCAGAATGATAGGGCATATGCGCGGTCACTAGCGCGTCCACTAGCGCGACCGCGCTAGCCCAGTTTCGGAAAAGTAAATTTCAGGGGTAAACTTGGAAGTTCGGGGGTAAATCCACTTAACCTATAGAAGGTCAAGCTCGCCCAAGGATTGATTATCAAGGTTTTCATAACTTAGTTGAAGGCAAGGAGAGGCAAGAGGCAAGGAGGATAATTCAACATCGAGTTCTTCCTTTCTTCCTTTTGTTTTTACGATTTGTGATGACTTTGAATATTGTTGTGATGAACACTAGTATGAGTAGCTAAATATTTATTCTAAGGTTTTGATGGAACCTATTGAAGGATGAACTTCTTGTTATGTTAATATAGTTTGCCCGGTTTAATCTCTATTTGTTCAACTATGTTCTTATTGTAGTTAATTGACAGGATCCTCAATTAGCTGTGCCTATTTAGTGTGCATAACTCGGGAGAGAGTGCATATTTAGGTCAATTGTTGAACAACACCACTCCCAAAGTATATGAGGGATCAATAACCAAAGGCGGGATTAGGGATAACGAAGCCTTGGGTGTGATCTAAAGTGAGCTGTAATTAAACAAGCCAGCTAGCGTATCTCGGGAGAGTGCGTCTAGTAAATTATTGTGATTACTCGGGAGAGATTTACGGTAATAATAGTGCTCATGATTGATAGAGATGATTAGGCAAATCTATGTGAAGCATAACCGGAAGGGATTCCATCAATAGGGGAAATCATAACCTTAGAACCTTCTCTTAATTGTTTACAACTTAATCTTAGTTAGTTTTCAGCTCTTATTTACTTTCATTCGTAGTTAGTAGAAATACCATCAATTGTTATTTACAACGTTTGGGAAGTTGATTCCGTGGAATTTAGTAAGTCTAACGAGAGTAATTGATAGGTTAATTCCTTGTGGGTTCGACTCTGGGCTAAATACTCAGATTATATTTGCAACGTCCGCGCGTCCTTTTTATAAGGCATAGTTGGGCATGATCAATTAATAACCTTGATCTGCTAATATCATGAATTGCTATGTATTAAATATACATAGAATAATACCAGATAGAGTGTATAACTAATGCTTGTATTAGTTATACATAAATTAAAAAGTGTACCAAATAAAGTATTACTAACATACAAAGCTAATGCATACATTATTTTTTCTAATGCAATCTACGGACGACCTCAAGAGTCAAAAGCTTAGCTCGTAGATTTAGCTCAACTTGCTAATTACTTGATCTTGTGTAAGGTCCAAGAATAAATTAAAGACGATCGATCTTAGACCCCTCTTATTAGAATTTAATCACCATAACGTACAGATATAGTCAAAAGAACTTATACTCAATTCTCCTCCTTTATTTATTTATTTATTTTTGAGAAATTTTCATAAAGCACTATCTTTTAGTAGTAATTAGCCATCTATAGATACCATTTGCTATATTATGGATTATAGATACCTTTTATGTGGTTATAAGATGTATTTGATGTATTTAAGCTATTGTATTCATGAATACAGTAGCAAAAATAGGCGTGAATCAGGGAAATCCAGCTAATCAGTTGTTGTATTCGAGTGTATTCGACTGTATTCATGGAGTGAAACATGGGATTACAACTGGACGGATTATTGTATTCGACTGTATTCACGGCGTGAAATAGGGGATTACACTATTTTTAAAACGGAAAGTGAATCAATTAACATAATAAACTCCTTATATAACTCAACAAACTCAATTATAACACAGAAATTTTGTATTTTCAGTTATAAAAAAGATTCTCAACCGAAAAATATCCCAAAAGCATAGCAATCTTTAGAGAAATTAAATAATACATCTGAATAATAGATTATATTAATTAAAAAAACTTATGAATACATTCATGGCATATAGCGAGACAGTGAATACAATGAAATACATAGAATACAGTGGGATACATTGAAATACAATGAGAAAAAAAGATAGTGAATACAATGAAATACATGGAATACAACGAGACACATTGAATTACAATGTAAAGGGAACGGGAAAGATGGGCAGTAAGGGCGGAGAGGGACGCGGCGGTGGTACGACGGTCAACGGAGACGACACAGTTGTCACCGGCGGCATAGCAGAGGGATTTGTTGAACTATATGCCCACCGTAGCTGCATAATCATTGCAAGTTCTGAGACTGTCTTCAAGCATAAGTTTTTCCTAGTAAAAAGTTTTTTTGCTTTCTGCAACTTTGAATCTCATCTTCAAGTACTTTCAGATACAGAATTGGAACAACAATCAATCCTAACAATTCTGCCCTACACAACTTTGAACTATTCCAACATCTAAAACTAGCCGACGAGCGATTGAGGTTTGCTCTAATAAATAAAACTAGAACACCAACAGAGATAAATTGGTCAAAATTTTCATCGCTGCCTTCACTTTTTATAGTCCATCGCTGCCTTCGCTGCAGAATGACTCAATTGCTGCCTCACTGAAAGAGAAAGAAATTCGTGCCCTTTTGGTGGTCCATCCCTGCCTCAGTGAGAGAGAAAGAAATTCGTGCCCTTTTGAGATTGAGTATCGTGTGGGAAGAGAGAATAAGATGTATCAAAGTAGAGAGAGAAAGAAAATAGTGTAACTGAATAGCGTATTTAGTGGCTTAGGGCTAGGAGGTAACCAAAATTAAATATTTTGCTATAAACCTTAAAGGTATCTATAGAATAAATTTTTTAAATGGTATTTATTTAATATAAATAAGGTGTTAACCTTTGCTATAGGAGGTAAAAATTTCTTTATTTTTTCGCAAGACTTTTTTGGAACTGAAATGTCAAGAGTCCCTTTATGTAATGAATATCTTTTTTTCTTCTTTAATTTGAAGCTCCTTTCATTAGAAAAAAAAAATAGGTATACTCAATTACTTGGCTAAGGGACCTCAGTAGAAGACACACAATGAATATGCCATTTAATGCAACGGGCAAAATGAAGATCTTGATTAAATATGAACAGAAGGATTCATTTATGATTCAATATTTGCTCATCTACCTACCTAGAAAATGACTAAATTTGCGTGAAAAAACAATCATAATGGCCTCCTAATTAACTCTTGCTTATATAGGAACAAATATAGGAGTAAAAACTAAATAATTCACACTAATATCTAACAACTTGATCCTCAACCTGTTATTTTACAGTCTAAACTAAAAATACTCAATAAGTTACTTAATTTGCTTGCTAAGAAATATAAATAAAGAATGAAATTGATGGATATGCAAGAATTGGTTTCACCAAATTTTTGTGGTAAATTGTTTGAGACACTGGTCAATACATATTTGGCTCAACTTCTATTGACCTAACAAACTTTAGATGAGTTGAGTTATATACTACCTTTAATTTTATTTAACTAGCTCGCTCTGACTCGTGCAATCTTCATTCGTGCTAATTTGACACTCAAAAATTTGTATATACCTAATTAATTCTGAGCTAGAAAATCTATGAATTTGTAGTCGGTAACATGTTTCCAATCCTATTTACAAGTCTACATTTACTTGTCCAAGGGTCAACCAGAATTTTACTTTACTATAATTTGTTTAAATGCGAAAGCTAATTCCTTCTAGTAGTTAGCATGCATGTAGTTCTTTTTAATTATAATTTACTATCTAAGGAGAATGTAAGGACCGTCAGAAACAAAAAGCAATATTTAATTTATGATTAAAAAAGAAAACATCTCCATCACTGGGCATCGCGAATTCTCCTTTAATTTTCATATTTAAATCTCTGATAATTATCCCTTCTACTAGCTAATGCATGCAATTTTGTTCCACAAAAGAAAAGAAATAATTCTGACTTTTCTTAATTATGTCACGTATGATGGCATATGAGAACTATAGTTGATTTGAAAATTGGAACTACCGCCCTTCGGTATGGTGAAATGGATGAGATCCTTTTACCACTGACTGTAAATACTGCTCATTAAAAGTCACAAATTGTATTTTAGTTTTAGGAATGAAGAAACTCTTGGTATAAAATGCTTCCCCTTTAATAGGCCCTATGCAGGTCGTACCCACAAACTTTGAATTAATCGAGCCAATAAATTTCCGATATGAAAGAAGAAAAAAAAAAAGAATATTGGAAACTCCATAGATCCTACTAGGAAGGTGGTGAGGAAGGTCACAAAACAAAGATATAGAAGAATTTGCAATGCTATATAGAAGCACACCAACCAAAAAGCCAACACACATTCTACCAAAGTCACTATATCTAAAGTCTTTCTTAGGTCTTATTGGCTTGTTTTCTCAAGCACAATGAACTCCACCTTCCTAGAAACAAGCATTTCTCAAACAGGAAACCCTAGTTTTACTTCTCCTTTTCTTTACTCACATATGACTCAAGATTGTGGTTATAATTTTCAAGATTGTGATTTTAATAATTTTCAGGATTTTGAATCTTCTTCATTTCTTGATCAGCTGCTTGTTGATTATTCTCCTACCAATAACAACTTCAGTAATTGTCTTTCAGAAAATCCCAACATTAATCACTTGAAAAGTAGTACCAATATTAATCACTTGAAAGAGTAAGTGATCAAGCTAGCTAAGAAGATCTTGGCTATAATTAGTAGTCATTCTATTTTAAATATTTTCATAATTCTTGGTATATTTCTTTATGTAGTTTTTGATATTTTTACAGAAAATCCGAAGTGGAAATAAAGAAAGAGAAGATGAATGAAAGACATGTACAAGCTATTGCTTTTAGAACAAAGACTCAACTTGAGATCTTGTATGATGGATATAAATGGAGGAAGTATGGGAAGAAGAAGGTGAAAAGTAACACAAATCTAAGGTAAATTATAGATTATGAGCTCATGCATGCAAATCTCATGTAGATCTTTTGATTGTAATTCTATATAATTATTCTATCTTTGTTCGTTTTACTTTTTCAGAAAGCTACAAGAAAATTTTCACATAAATCAAAAGGAAATTTTTTGTGTGTTAAAATCTATCTATTAAATCAATCAAATTAACAAAAATTAAGTAATAAGACAACTGGACAAAGTAAAATACTGATCACAAACTTCAAAACGATACAAAATAGTTTTTGGTGGTCCTGGACATGATCGTGCTCTAGATTTGACTGCCCTTGAGTTTCTTGCCTTTGAAATGCATCTTTTTTGTCCTCACCTGCGTCTAAAAATGAGAAAAAAAGAATCTTAATAAATTGAGAGAATGATCATTCTAGCTGACCAATTAGTTATTAGTTTACTACGTATTATGTATACCTTGAAGATTAGGGCCACTGCTATGACGGAGCTAAGAGGCGGGTTCATCCGAACCCCTTCGCCGGTGAATATTGTTAGCTGGCATAGATATGGAGATCGAGCTTGAGGAAGAAGACATGCAGATGAAGGCCACACTCAAGAGAAACAGATTTCTTTGTATTAGAAGAAGAATGAAAATGATACAAGCGTGTGTTTTTATAGGGTGTACAGTATATTTATACTGCTACAATATAACTACTCCTAATTACTGTACTAACTAACTCCTAACTATGGTTACATAGTTAACTACGGTTAACTTATCAGCTTGGTTAATTAACTCTAGTCAACACTCCCCCTCAAGCTGATGGTTTATACACATTCTTCACTCCTAATTGATTCAGCAGCTGATCATTTTGAAACTTCCCCAAACTCTTTATAAGTAGATCTGCTAGCTGGTCTTTAGTATGCACATACTGTATCTTCAGCAAACCTTCACATATTTTTTCTCTAAAAAAATGACAATCAATGTCAATATGTTTAGTTCTTTCATGGAAGATAGGGTTGGCTGCTATTTGTATAGCAGCCTTGCTGTCACATATCAAACTTATAGGCTGTTGAATCTTCACTCCAAGTTCCTTGAATAGCCCTATCATCCAGGTGACCTCTGCGCATACTCCTGAACTCAGCCTCAGCTGAACTTCTGGACACAGTCATTTGCTTCTTTGATTTCCGAGACACCAGTGCATTTCCAAATTTAACCAAGTATCCAGTTACTGATCTCCTCGACTCTATACAAGATCCCCAATCAGAGTCACAATAGGCAATCAGCTTGTCTGCACTTTCTGCAGGCATAAGTAGCCCCATGCCTGGTGCTTGTTTGATGTATCTGACTACTTTGAGAGCAGCTTCCATGTGTGATATCTTGGGACAATGCATATACTGACTTAGAACTTGCACTGCAAAAGCAATGTCTAGTCTGGTCATGGTGAGATATAACAACCTTCCAACAAGTCTCTAATAACAGCTAGGATCTTTGAGCTCCTGATCACCTTCTTGACTTGAACTCTGAATGCACTTGTCATACTCTACAGATGTGAGTTTTTGATTCAACTCCAATGGTGTACCAGAAGGCTTTGCTCCACCTAAACCTGTTTCAGAAATCAACTCAAGTGCATACTTTCTTTGACACATAAGAATTCCTTCCTTTGATCTGGCAAACTCAATTCCAAGGAAAAATTTCAACTCCCTTAAGTCCTTCATCTTGAACTTCTTCTGAAACTCTGTTCTGGTGTCATACAGTGACTTATCATTGTTCCCTATGATCATCAAGTCATCCACATACACAAGAATGATAACAGTGTCACCATTGGCTTCTCTGATGAACAATGAATAGCCATAATGACTCTGTTTGAACACCATCTGCAGAAGCACCTCTGTCAACTTCAAATTCCACTGTCTTGGTGCTTGTTTAAGCCCATATAATGACTTGTGAAGTTTGCAAACCTTCTCAGTCTCCCCTGGCTTGCAAACCCTTTGTGGAATGTGCATATACACTTCTTCAACCAAATCACCATTTAGAAATGCATTATGAACATCCATCTGATAAATCATCTAATGCTGAGATGCAGCAAGGGCCACAATTGACCTAACAGTGACCATTTTAGCCACAGGGGAGAAGGTTTCACTGTAGTCTAAACCTTCCTTTTGACTGTAGTCTTTGGCAACCAGTCTGGCCTTGTATCTTTCAACCTCTCCCGAGGCCTTTTACTTGATTTTGTATATCCATCTGCAACCTATAGGAATTTTGCCAGGAGGTAAATTAACTATGCTCCAGGTTTTGTTTTCCTCTAGTGCTGCAATCTCCAAACTCATATCCTCTACCCATTGAGGATCTGTGACTGCCTCAGCAAAGGACTGAGGTTTAGAACCAGCTGAATAGGCTGCCAATACTCTACTATATGAGGGAGTGATGTGAGAATAGCTGACATAAGTAGAGATAGGATAGGAACACTGAGCAGCATGTGATCGCACCACATAGTCTTGCATCCAAATGGGAGGTTTGCTGGTCCTGGTTGATTTTCTTACCTGAATAGGAACAACATCAAGTGAGGTAGTCACTGTACTAGGTACTGCAGTATCAGGATCAGCCTCAAGTGGAGTATCATCTGATGCTGCATTATCTGTGATGTCACCTTTAGGATTTGGAGAGTAGTGAGGAGTGTCCACAGGAGAAGACTCCCCCTCAGATGTAGTACTGGACTCAGGTGGAGGAGGACTAACTTCAGGTGAGGAATCTGCAGCAGAGAGCCTGAGATCTGTACTAGTTGATGATAGTAGATCTAGTATAGGAAAAGTAGTGCAACCTGAAGATGACACATGCTTGAAAGGAAAAATGCCTTCCTGAAAAATAACATTTCTGTTGACAAAGAAAGACTTAGCATTCAAGTCATACAAGAAATAGCCCTTTTGAGAAGAGGAGTAGCCAAGGAAGACAACAGGAATAGCTCTTGGTGAGAACTTGTCAACAATGCTGGGGCATGCTGCATAGCACAGACAACCAAACACCTTTAAGTGTTGCAGAGAAGGAGGATGTAAGTAGAGCAACTCAAATGGTGGTTTTTACCCAAGTGTTCTAGAGGGTAGTCTGTTGATGAGGTAGACTGCTGTGGTAACACACTCACCCAAAAACCTGAGAGGTATAGCTGCTTGAAATCTAAGAGACTGGCCATGTTTAGAATTGTTCTGTGTTTTCTCTCAAAAGTTCCATTTTGTTGAGGTGTGTAGACACATGAACTCTGATGAAATATACCAAGATTGGAAAGCAATTGTTTAAACTCATTACTAAAGAACTCACTACCATTATCAGTCCTTAAAGGTTTTATGGAAGCTGAAAATATATTCTTTATTTGAGTTAGAAAGTCTCTTAGTACAACTATAACTTCTGACCTGAAGTTGAGCAAAACAATCCAAGTGTATCTGGTATAGTCATCAACTACTGTAACAAAGTACCTCTTACCACTATGTGAGGGAACTCTATATGGCCCCAAGATATCACAATGCACTAAGTCAGATGCAGTATTAGACACTGAGGTACTTAGAGGAAAAGGTAGTTTGGATTGTTTAGCAACTAAACATACAGGACAATATTGAGTTCCTTTCTTTAGGGTACTAAGAGCATCTAACTTCCTTATTATATCAATAGAAGCATGTCCTAGTCTCCTATCCCATACTTCTTCATAATCGGTTAAGTTGGCTGTGTGAGCACACTTATTGATTGATGTTGTTGTAGAATCCTGTGATAGTCCCCCTTGAAGTATGTACAAGCCATGCTCCTCCTTACCAATCCCCTTCACCTGACCACTGTAGAGATCCTAGAAAATACAAAAATCGGAAAAGAATGCAACCATGCATTGAAGTTCTTTGGTGAGTTGAGATACTGAGAGCAGGTTGTATTTAAAATCTGGAATGTACAGCACATTGGAAATTTTATTATTTCTAAGTACTGAGGATGTTCCTTTATGTGATACAGAAACTACATTTTCAGTAGGTAATTGGACTTTGCACTTCTCTGAACTGGGAATGGACTAACAAGAAGTAAGAGCATCAAGTTGAGAAGTCATATGATTTGAGGCTCCTGTGTCTATAATCCAATTTTGCTTGAGAAAATTGGATATTAGAGTAATTAGAGTACCTGCAGCAGCTAACTTGCTGGATGATTCTGGACCCTCTTCATTCCCCTTGGCTAGCATCTGAAGTATTTGTAGATACTGCTCTTTGGTGAACAAAGGAGTAGCAGGACTATTGTTAGTAGTGGTCTGGGCAAACTGAGGCATGTAGGCATGCTGAACCTGTTGTATTCCTGATTGAGTTCCATAAGTACCTTGTTGAGTGCCAGTTTCAGCAGCTTCTTCAAGAGTAAACCCTAGACTTTCAGCTACACGCTACAATTGGACAATTTCCCACAGAATTGTGAAATTGAGGTAGCGAGAGGAAGGACTAGCTTGAGAGATGTCTTCGATTCACTCCAGTGGCTCTGACCATGTTAGCTGCCATAGATCTGGAGATCGAGCTTGAGGAAGAAGACATGCAGATGAAGGCCACACTCAAGAGAAACAGATCTCTGTATTACAACAAGAATATAAATGATACAAGCGTGTGTTTTTACAGGGTGTACAGTATATTTATACTGCTACAGTATAACTAACTCCTAATTACTGTACTAACTAGCTCCTAACTATGGTTACATAGTTAACTACAGTTAACTTATCAGCTTGGTTAATTAACTTTAGTCAACATACCATATATTAGGTCAAAAAATTGACAAGCAATACACGTGAACTTTGGCCAAAGTCTCACCTACACACTTAGGTTCCTCCTGAACTATGGTCAAATTACTATAAAAAATTCTTCTTTGAACTCATGACCATATTACTAAAAATTTGTGATAAAGATGAATCTCATTCAAGTGCTAAAAAAATAATATTCCAAAGCTTTGGTATGTTTTACATAACATTATGGAAAACGGCAGATAAGTTTGTGATACTTTCACTATAAAAAATCTCTTTGCAATCCAAATATTTGAATAGACAAGCTTAACAGTAAAGTGTAAAAAGAAGATTCACTTTATGTGAACCTGTTTGACTGGGTACTTAGTTTAAGAAAAAATGAAGACTTTTAAATTTGTGGTCCTAAACAAGGCAAAAAGGGGTCCACAGTATTTGTGTGGTTATAAAAGCTTCTCATTAAGGGTAGAATTGGAAGTTTAAGCTAAATTTGTTTTCAAATTTAAAAATGGGTTAATCTTTTTGGAACGAACCGAAAAGCAAATAGGTTCACGTAAACTGGAACGGAGGGAGTAATAGTAACTTGGTCTGGGAAAATAGGAGAGATAAACATAATTTCCAGATATACATCTCTAGGGATGTCTAGAAGTGTGTTGTAGAGTTCAGAGTAATATAGCTAATCAGTAATCAGGCATTCAATATGATATTTAGCAATGGGATTATAGGAAGACGTCACAAAAGTGTAGAAAGAGTGTACTTCGATTTTGGCATATACAAAAAAAATGAGACATTCAAAATAATTTGAATTGTCATGGCATTACATACTTAAGGATGTACAATAGACTAGTTTGGATTATGCTTGGTAGGTTACATAAGCTATATTTCTGCTGAGAAGATTGACAGAAATATATTGAGAGAGGAAATTCCCACAAGATATTCATGATTATAATTCTGAGAAATTAAATCTTACTATAACATGCAAAGAGAAGTTCTTAATTTGGTGGGTGCTTAACTAGAAAATAATAGACCAATCATGTATATATGTGAGAATAGTGGGAGCATATGTATTAATGCAGGTGTGAAATTATGATAATTGAAAACTCAACAATATGAAGAAGGTTTCGGTGGAGGCCAGTAGCTTTGGTTCAAATCCTGTATTTGTTTGATGAAATTTATTAAATATGTATAATTTATTAATTTAGAACCCATTAACTTAAAAATGATTAGAATTTCGAACTCATAAGCTTTAAAATACTGGCTCCGTCTCTGATACGAAGATGAAAAATCTATATAGGTGATGTTAAATTAGTTGAGTTTAAGATACTTTTTGTCACACTTACATTAGGTCCAATGATTAATCTAGTAAGAGACTCACATGTTATAATTGTAGAGATGAGTGTAAGATTTAGAGAACCTCTTGTTTCAAAGAAAATTTAATTCACTAAATTAAAGACAAATTATTTAGCATTAAAATGGTCCATATATAGAGTATACTGATATAGTGGAATCCTCCAACTAGTTTATATTTTTGGTTTCCTTCTTTAGCATCAGAAAGCCTTAATTATAGTCTGAAATAAGTTCTACTGAAATTACACGTAGAAGCAAAAAAGAATCTTGATGTATTACTCCTCCTTTATTTTCTTCTCTTTTTATTATTTCTTTCCATTATATTTAAACAAATACTAACAAAAGAATCACATGTACATATCAAGAGGGAAGATACACTAGGAATAATATTGAACTAATGATGTTTACTTGTTGTGCAAAACCAAATAATAGGAATTACTACAAATGCTCAAGTGGAGGGTGCAAGGTAAAGAAGAGGATAGAAAGAGATGGACATGATTCAAGCTATTTGATTACTACATATGAAGGCAGACATAACCATGAAAGCTCCTCTGTAATTTTACAACCATGAAATTCCACTCAGTTTTCTCAATGATTGACACTACAAGCAATTCCCAATGGTCTTTAGTCTCAGCTTCATAACTTCTACAAGAAATAATTGGACACCTTTGCGATTCTCGTGTATAAATATAGGACATTATATTATACTTCTATTTCATTAATATATCATGTGATCTAGCTATATAACTTCTCCTAGTTTACAACTAGCATATAACTGTAATGTCTTATAGATGATCAGCTCTGAGAAACATTGTTGTAAGTGTAAAATTAATCGATACAATTCATCATGTAAACGTACGTACTTACCTAATAAGTAACATTTATTTGTTTAAAAAGTTTTTTCCCTGATTATGTGGCCATGTCACGTCATCATAGGAGGAAGCTTGTGGTAATGTGTGAATTTTTAAGGAATCTTTGCACTGTATAGCCGCTCATACAAAATAAAAAAAAATTGCCGGTAGATGCATAATAAATGTATAGTTAGTGTATAATTTATATATATTCACTAGCAAATGTAAATATTTTTGGCCAATTGTGTAACTTCCCCCCTTTTCTACTGATACAATGAGAGAACTTTTTCTTGCGTTCTATAAATATTAAAATTTAGTTCGTGCATTCTTTAAATATTAAAAATTTATTTTTGAAAGAAAAAAAATTAATCTAGATCAATTTAGTTCCAATATCAACCAAATCATCTATCTAGGATAATTGTACCTATATATATATATATATATATATATATATATATATATATATATATTATATATATATATATATATATATATATATATTATATATATATATATATATATATATATATATATATTATTTTAAAATCAAAGTAGGATGGTTGAAACAAGAAAATGTTATTAGAGTATTATGTGACAAGATGATATCTATCAAAATGAAATGCAAGATCTATAGAAAGATCGTACACCAGTCTATTATATATCTGAGTGAAGTTGGGTAAATGCTTATGTTACGGTAGAGGTGCAATCATATCATAAATGATAAATCGAGAGAAAGTTGCTTGAGATGATATGATCATGTTCTACGTTGATCTCCTGATATACACATGTCTTTTAATAGGAAATCACGTTGATTGAATGTGTTAAAAATGAAAGAAGTGGAACTAAAATCACTTGAAACAAAGTTATTTTGAAAGACCTACACTATCTCTCAATCCATGCAGACTCAATAAAAAATAAGGTACTGTACAAGAAAAATTCATATAGGTTATACGAATGTTTGGATTAAGGTCTTTTTTTTATATAATTTACCCAGTTGCAATACTGGGCTCAGTTGTATTCAAAATGGATCAGTGAGGGGAGCTAGGCCTAACCTCATAAAATACAACTTGGTGATTCCATCACCCAAAAAGAACAACAGAAGAAGAAAGAAAAACCAGAGGAGATATATACAGAAGGGGTTCTCCATCTGGGAAAAGTGAAGGATACATCTCTAGCTGACAAAAAAATTAGCTTTGTCGAATTTGGTTCTGATACTTGGCATTTGCCACTTATCCAAGAGGAAATAGCCTTTAGCACATGTAGGAAGTTGTTGATATGAGTTGATAGTCATGCTATTACCCGAGGTAGAAGCCAGTTTCGCAAGACAATTTGCAACTTGGTTGCCTTCTCTGTAACAATGCTTTGCTCTTACATTGGCCTGTTGTATAGTCTGCAGCATTCTCTCAGTCATTTGTTTGATTTTAAGATTGTTGGTGTCTCTATTTATCAATATGTTTGCAATCACCATAGAGTCGAGTTCGAGGATAAAATTAGTGTAGCCTTGTAGCTTGCACCATTTCATTCCAAACTCAACAGCTAGAGCCTCCGCAGTATTGCTGTTATCACACTGGACAACCTTCGAGAAGGCCATAATAAGATCACCGTTGCTATTCCTTACGATGCCTCCTATGCCAGCTTTGTTGTTTTCTCTGATGTAGCTACCATCGGTATTAATTTGATACATCCCTGATTTGGTGTCGTCCACAACACTTGACTCCAGCTTTGCATCGGTTTCAACTTTTTGATTCTTTGGCAGAGATCTGGCCAAGGGTGGTGGTTGTCCCATCTTGGTATAATCTTCGAAATGGCTCCTTTGATATTCCAGATAGCTTGATGCACCATCATGTTTGGTTGGAATTTCTTCTGATTACCATATTTGCACGATGTCCATTGTTTCCATAGTTCCCAGCAAATTGTTAACGGAGCTATTTGAAGGATTAAGTGATGGACCCTGTTCTTTGAGCTTGTTTCCCACCATCTCTTGAATGTTCCCACCACCGGCTCTATTTGATGCCTTATGCCCAGTGGATTGCCAATTGTGTTCCATGCTATTTTTGCTGCCTCGCTTCTATTGAATACATGTTCCATAGTCTCAACCTGCGGCAAACAACAACAAGAACATCTAGAAACAATGTTAGTGCCAAATTTACCAATAATATCATCAAAAGGTAGTCGCCTTTAAAGTAACCTCCACGATAGAAAGGAGATTTTAAAAGGTATAGATTTTGGCCAAATCTTACTAATGAAGTTATTCTTCTGCTTTTTCATTCTTACTAAGTGATAATCGGCATAAAGTATGTATATTTTGATATATATCGCCTCGCATTTTGCTCTTGTTTCGATGATTTGAGATGTTTAATGTGATGATTTGTGCTAAATTATGGTGTTTCTATGTGTAGGAATCATTCGAATGCAATTTGGGACGAAAGGACGCGAATTGGAGCGAAATCGGAGCAAAAAGGCAAAAAGTCAATTTTGAGGGCCACAGCTAGCGTGGGGCGCTCGTTGTGGCCCAATTTCCAGTAGTCAATTATTTTGAGCGCCGGGGCCAGCGCCCCACGCTGCCCTGGACGCTTGGATCGCTAGAGTGTCCTATTCCGACTTGGACTCGGTTATTTTCACCCCAAGACGCCTCCAATTGATATAAAAGCCATCCTAAAACCTATTTTGAGAGGAGAACGTGATTTTGGAGAGAAAAACACAAGCATAGAGCCACCGTGGAGGCCGGAATTCATCAAGTTCCATCTTTCCTTCCATCAAACTTAGTAATTTTTATGTTTCTTTGTATGATTTGTTGTTTTGCTACCATGTCTATGTGAAGCTAAACTTCACGTTCTAGGGTTGTGGTTCTTTCATGACTATTGTTATTCTGATATTGATTTTGATTTCTTAGTTTATCATATTGGTTATTTATTTAATCCTGCACTTAATTATTTGATTGCTTGATCACCAATTGAATACTATCTACGAATCTTGAATTGAAATCGAAAGTGGGAATTCTAGATTGCATATAGGATTGAGTAGAGCAAGTTCTTGAACCTGGGCATCGGGGAA